AACACCCTGTATATTTTTACAAGTTTGGATTTATCTGTTTTCAACGCTTATGGATAACTTTACTTTTTGCAATTTGATTCAGCCTTTCTCGAGTTAATCGAAATTTTCTAGAAAAATCTGCTCCAGCAGACATTTGTTCAAAAAATCAGAGAACACTCCATCATTTTTGAGATATCAATTTAGGATTCAGAACATGCTTAAGCAAAATGATCGAGTATGTTTTGTTGCCGAGAACGGCTGTCTAGATCGTTTGGTCACTTTATTATGGCACGTTAACTTTTCGAAATTTTGAAGTATCATAACTTCATATTATATATATATATATACACGTTTTGAATGACTCATTCGTAAACAGCAGACAATTAGACTCTAGCAACAATTCGCCTACCACAAATTCATTTCTACTATCGAAACAGAAACAAATAAATACAACCCTTGATCACATTACGTACTTAGAGGAAGCAGAACAGCTACAAATACTAAAAGACCTGAAAAAACCGACTACAATGGATTCTATATGGATTATCAACAAAACTCTTAAAAGAAGTAATAACTTATGCTTCTAAACTATTAACAGACGTTTTCAATAAATGTATAAAAGAGGAAAATTTTCCAGAAGAACTAAAATACGGGTAACTAATACCAATCTGGAGAGCCCAACGACCTGAATAACCACCGTCCAATCTTTGTCCTAATAATGTCAAAAATTTTGGAAATTGTTATAAAGAAGAGCTTACTTAAATATTTGACTTATGAAAGCTTATTAACGACTTACCAACACGGTTATTAACCAGGTAAATCCACAAACACGGCACTACTTAATGTATTACAAGTTATCATAAGATCATAAGGCTTCTAACCTTGTAACTCATGACATTCTTACTAAGAAATTGAGCAAATACAGATTAAGAGATAAGGCCTTTAACCTGTTAGTTTCATATCTGGATAAGCGACAACAACAAAGTCACTGGAAACGTGAAATATCGGACTGGAAGAGAGTCGAAACAGGAGTTCCGCAAGTTTCAGTTCTTGGACCGATTCTCTTTTTTGATCTACTTAAACGATCTGCCGAATTTTGTAGCATCGGATTCACTCTGTCTTTATGCGGACTATACTTCCTTCATAAACGTGGAAAATGATATTGAAAGAATTGAGGAAAAAACTAGTACAACAGTGTTAAAGGCAGAAAACCAAGTTACTCACATTTTATACGAAAACCAATAATCACGTTTCAAATCAAACGACTATGTTTCTTGGCGTGGTGTTTACGGAAACTTTGAGTTTGTCGGAGCTTAAAAAGATATTAGCAACCTAAAAAAAGTTTTCAAATAACAAAAGCAAGCGATAAGAACGCTAGTAGTCTAAAACAACATCACAGTAATTGTAGAGGTCATTTTACAACTCTAAAAACACCGACATTACCATCTTTATATATACTTACGTGTCTAGACTATATACACAAAAATAGGTATTTACTAACCATAATTGCAGAGTCTTACATACTGTTACCCCTACTGCACCAGACAAGGGGATAACATCAAACTTCCATATCACAGAATAACAAAATCACAAAAAATTTTTTACTATATATCTATAAAGTTATACAATGAATTATCACCCCATTTCAAAACATTGAATATGAATAGTTTTAAGAGACAGGTCAAGAGTCTGCTCTTAGAAAAGGAATTCTACTCCATAGATGAATGTATTGCAGCAATGAACAAACTAATGAATACCTGTTTTCTTTATTGTCATTATTACAACTCTTATTTGACGAGAATATTGTACATTTTGATGCTTATTCAATAAAATTATTGTTATTATTATAGCAGATCCAGCGCATCCCTCACTCTCGCAAATCACTCATTCATTGCACTCATTCACAATACCGGCCCTAAGCCCGGGACACTCCATTTTATCATTTTCTTTACCGCGCTGAATGCGTTTTCCAAAGCCTGAACCGTACCCCTCCCTTTCTTAAACCCGAACTGACCCTCATCCAACCTACTCTTTCTTTCCATATATGTTAGAAATCTTTCAGTTACCACTCAGTCCAAAACTTACTCGGCAGCGGAAGCCAGGCATATCGGTCTGACCCCACCATTCGATTTCGGCAACCATACCATTCAAAACTATTTCATCCGAAAACCACCCTTTTCTCAAACATCCATCAATCACCTTCCTCCTTTCTTTCTTACTCCTCTTTCTATACTTCCCTCGTAATCTTCACCTCAATCGCCTTTATTCCATTGCATCCAGGTGTCTTCCTTTCAGCCATCCCCGATAATAATAATAATAATCCAACTCCTTAATAATCTCATCCAACTGCTTTTTCCTAACTTTTTCCACCATCCTACCTCTATCATTCCTATATCTCTCTATCTATCATTTGACATTGCCGCTAATCCGCCCTTGTACCTCTGTATCATCCTCACTCTTATCCTTTGGAAAATGCTTCTGAAATGAATCTTTTAATGTCTCCTCCCTAATGTGTTCTTAAAGCCCCATCTCCACTTGCCAGAATCACTTTCTTTCTCCTCATTCCACTCACTCTCCACACTTGTTGCCATTCTTTATCTCTCACCCAACCGCTCTATTCACTGTCTTTTCGCCTTAATAATTTTCCGTCTATACTGTAGCCTCGCCTCTACATAGTGCTGTTTCATCCTAACCACACTCTGTTCCATAGCCCTCCTATTTTAATATTGTCTCCTCACACGCTTTAACTGCCTTTTTTTCTCCTATAGCTCCTGCGCCATTTCTTTAACACTTCCTCGCATACACAGCTTATCCCTTCACTCCAGCTTTGTATTTTCTCCTCTCCTCTAACATCTGCCTGGAAACCTAATCTCCTCATATATACCTGTAATACCCCATTAAAAAATTTTCAATCTACTCTTGTATAATCATACATACCCATTCCCGTTTCCATGCTCTCCTCCCTACCATACTTAACGTCGGGTCATCCAGCACATTGAAATAAAAGTTTTTACCGCCGTGATGTCGATCCAGCTTGATCCATTCTCTGAATAAAATGTGGACTCATTTCCGTCTTGGTTAAGTACCACCCACTTCATAATTTCCCCCTGCTATTCGTCATCTAATCTCCTTACGCTGGACGTCGTGTGTTAAAATCTCCTGACATGATCGTCCACGACGCTTGTCTAAAACCTTTGGAAACCCTATGCAGCGTTCTTTGGAGATCTTCTGACGAACTCGCATACACGCATTCTAGTCCAACACAATCCAATCCCGCAGTCATGCTCACTCACGCCGAAAAGGGTATAGCGTTGTATACCCTTTTCGGCACACACATTCAACAAAACAGTCACACACTTACTGCTTCCTACTCTAATAGCATCTTTCCCCCAAATATCCTCTCTCAAATATGGGTCCTCTTTCTCTTGAGACTTGTAGTGCATTTAAGGTGGCCACCCTCCCTCAACCTGTGTTAACTTGCAAATCCCTTATATCCTTTGCGTTACTCAACATAATTGATGCCCATAATTGATTGTGTTCAATCTTTCCAATACTAATTTCCGCATTTCCTCGCTGTCCTTAAGACCATCACCCCCCTTTATAATAAGTATATTCTCGTTTCTTCTCTGTGTCACTTGAATCATCATTCATAAATAATCACGCATATTTCCTGCCTAATTCTTTATATCATTTTATCCAAAAAGTGGGAAAATAGAAGAATATTTTCCTACTTTTTCGTCTCCTCTTCGTACATGACGTATTTCTCCGAAACAGATACTACTACCCTCGCGGCCGACCCGTCGATCCTTCTAAGTAAATCCAATAGCTTTCTCCTTATCCTCTGCGATATCGACTTCTGTTCACAATATTTCTGCGTTTTTGTCTCGCTTCCTTACTGTTCTTGATGCCTAGAGAACTAGAGCTAACACTAACACTACAACTAACGCTGTCTTAAGAGATGCACGGAACTCGAATGTTTCTTCTTCTAGCACTTGGTGTAGTTTTAGTTCAATAGAAATATACAACAACCTGACGCTGAATACCAACTGAAACTGGAAATAACACTTGACCTAGAACTAGACTGTTTCGGGTTTAGCCGTTCGTCTTTAGACGCACGGGATTTAATTTACCTGTTTTGTATATACAACATTTCACAAATACTAATATTTATTAGAATTATTATTATTGCCTGTCAATAATATCAAATGTTTGTGTCACTTAAATATTTTTTGAAACAACAAGCCAACAAAAGCTGGCGTTAGTACAAAATTATAAATTGTGTTGACTGATAGTCTGTGTGCATGCTTTGAAAGGTTAATAAAAGAAAAGAATATAATTAACTTATTTTAATCTTTCTGTTTACAATTTCATCATAAAGATTTCGTTCTTCTTTTAATTTTCTATCTGTGTTTCAATAAATTTTTTCAATTTCTCAATTTTCTTGGATCCTTTGTATTTAATCCCATCGTAATAAATATTCTTCTTGTAAAATATTAAAGTTGGGGTGTGAGTTATTTCTTTGCATAATCGTTCCTCTTCGTTGCAGTCTATCACAGCCAAACTTACATTTTCCGAGGAAAATTCATCTGCTAATTTTTCCCATACAGAATTCAATTTCCGCGAATGTTTACACCATGGTTCCGTGTAATGTACAAAAGTTGATACATTATTAATGTGTCGCGTAAAGTTATTCGCGTTTAAAATGACCACCTCACTATAACTCGGCTTAATCAATAAATTTAAATTTATAATAGTTAAAAACAAGAACTGCCACAACATTTTTTCGTATAAATTAAGTGTAAATAATTTTAAATGTTGTACTTGATACGGAATAAACTCGTCTACTCAATGTTTTGAACAACTTTTCATTCATGGTTCTTATCTGTTATGGTTTGGTTTCAATTAAAAGTAAACAGAACGTTGAAAATACTTGGGTTTTAAGTGCAAAGGTCATGATAATGAATTTATAAATTCTTGATGGACTTATTAATACATTATAAATCTTATTTCTTTGATTATAGAATAATTTTAAAGCAAATCCAATAAAAGAACCAGTTTTAACAAAAATTAAACGGGATCAATCATTAATTTTTACAACAGTTCCCGAGGAAGGATCAGAAGAAGTATTTAACAAAACAATTCCACAAAAATCTACATCTAAATCTGTACAAAATCGACCAAAATTTTTAAATTTAAAAATGAAAACAACCGATATAAAACAACCGGAAATCAAATCGTTAGTAACAACACCGTTTCAAGGAAATACAAGTATTTGTTCAACACCTTTAAGCGAATTAAACAAAGTTCTTCACCAAAATTTAATGTCAATATGCGTTAACACAAATAAATTAGAAAAGAATTCAAAACCCGAAGAAAAAATAGATGATTCTCTCAATTCTTTATTATCAGCAATATCCGATAACGAATTAATTCAAGAAGAAGAAAAAGAAGATTTCATCGGTTTTAAAAAATTTTCTAGTTGTAATGATTTAACAACAACTTGTGACGATGATGAAAATAAAAATTTAAAACGTTTAAGAAAAACGATAACGGATCCAACATTCCCAGTATTTTCATTTAAAGGTTTACCAATTTCGGAATATTTACATAACGATTTAATTTGTAATGGAAATTTATACAATAATAATAATATAGAAAGTAAAAATTCTGATCTCAATAATTCCGACGATGTTTGGAAATCGTTTCAAGACTTTGACTCATCATGTTTTGAAGAAAGTAAACAACCAATTAAAATAGTTAATCGTAACGATAACATTGAATTAAGAAAGTCTTTAACTTTACCGTTAAAGCCGGAGACGCAAATTGCGAATACATTAAGACCTAATAGTATATTAACACCTTTAATGTCGAAATTAAGTATTTTAGAAATGGAAGAAAAAGAAAAATCCGAAAATATTCAAAAAGCTAATCAGAAATCTACCTTAAAAAGAAGCTTTTCATTTTTTAATAATAATACGACAGACATTATTGAAAACGATGATGATTTAAAACCGGTTACGTTGTTTATTTGTGGACAACAAGATATGGTTGTTTGCTTATTTTTGGATCAAGATTCGCCAATTTCTTTAAATTTAATAAATCAAATGGTATTTTTAACTTTAAAAAATTAATACAAACTTTAATAATAATTAATCTTATGTTTTTAGTATGAAACTTGTACGGATTCTTTGGGAAAACTTGATAAACAAATTCGGCAATGTTTGGAGGCCCACCCCGGTGGATCTCAAATTGACGCAAATGATCCTTATAGTTACTTGTGTTTAAAACGGGGTTGGGATACCGTACAAAAAATTGGAGCTTGGGATTCTTATGAATTAAGCACTGTTTCTAATATACATAGAGATTTTCTTGGGAAAAGAAATCTGACTGAAGTAACTATAAGGTAAGTACATAAACTTATTGTTTATTTTAATTAAAAGGTTTTAAAATTATATTGACATTTAACAAGAGCGTTCTTTTGTATGCAAAGAAATGCCGAATTTTCGGAGATTTTATTGTAACTTTCAAGTATATTGAATCAATTATCTAGCTCATGAGTATGCTAAACCAAGATATTTGATTAATAAATAATAAATTTTGAAATATTAGCTGTAGAATTAAAATGGTTGATGGTACAACACATTCCTCTACAATAGTACTTTCCAAATAGTATTAAAAAGTTTCGTTAGTTGCCCTTTCAAACTTTCGTCACCATGCTTGTTAATTATATTTCCTGGACTTGGGGTTAATCCATTTTTATCTTTGTCATTTCTTCTAGTATACGCTATCTTGCTGGTTGTCAGTACTTTCACTCCTATCCATTTATTGTTGTCCCCTGTTTTATTTTTGAGTCCGTTTTAGGTACTTCCACTTGATCAGTATTTGAATCCATGTTGGCGAATTTCACTGACCATGATATTGAGATTCTCCTAGAAGTTGTAAAGATGTTGAAACGATTAGACTCAGTGTTGACGTGTAGATATGATGTAGATATAAACTTTACTTGACGATTATCAATATCAATGTCGCTACCAATAGAAAAAGAAGATGTTGCAAACGATCCCCTATTTTAGAAATAATCAACAAGATAGTCAAAAATCTAAAAATGCAATGTTTGCGTCTACTAGCACTAGTAATACCGACTATTCCGTTTAATTGGGACATCGGTTAATCGGGAGAGCCGCTTATTAGGGACAAATTCTAATTAATGTGGTCCATTTAACGTGAGACAAGCGATTATCTCGAAAACGGTTCATTTTACATAAAAATAAACAATAACATTTTTTGACCTTGACCTTATTTTCGAGATTATATGAAGGTTTTTTAAATGGCACCCTATATATACTGTAAAATCTGAATCTGTGGATAAAACTAAAGTAATTCAAAGATAAAAAAATTTACTGTGTGGTTTTGCCAGTACAACGGCAAAACATCTTTTGAAAAAAATGGAAACTTCTTCAGAAACAATTAACTAACGTTTATAATCTAGCAAGAACAAATGCTATGAATTTTTAAACATTTTCCTACCCGCTTCGATACATTGTCTTTAGTTCTTAATTCTTAGAATACTATTAAAGAATGCTCAAAAAAAGAATTCAAGAAATGTGGAATCATGAAAAAGTATTAGCTTAGTATTAGCTAGCGTTGAGGTAAATCCTCAAGTTAGCACTCGACGACTTGCAATTGACGCCGGAATATCGAAGACCAGCATTTTAAGAATATTAAAGCGCAACAAGTATATTTATATTATTTAACCGTTATTTAGAGTTTTTTTATTGAAAGAACATTTTAATTACACAGTTGGACATAATTCACGAGCACACCTTATAATCTGAACGCGTGAAGATAAATCCATGATATTTGAGGAGCACAAAGGTTTACTGTAGACGAGTTTAATCATCGAGTTTCGAGTTGTTCCGTCGCGGCATTGTTGACTGAGCCGCTCTTCCAAGTGGAACATTCCGTCGCTATGGAGACTAGGGTTGCCACCTTTTTGACAACGGAAAACCGGCATTTAACGTTTTGCATGCCTCAGAATTTTTGTTTTTTAAATTTAAATGCAAATTATGACCACCAAAATTAAAAAATTACGCAACTTAAAAAATAATTACAATGGGATGTTAATATTTCTAGATAATATTTATTTTATGCCAATAAATGCAATAAAACATATATATATTTAAAATTTAAAATGGTATTTCGAATTTGATTTTGTTGCTTTAATAAGGTCTTTTTTGTCCCTTATTAATGAATAAAATTCCGAACAAGAAAGCTGAATGTTCGAACGAATGCACAGTTCTGATTTTACCATTTCAACAGATAATCTATTTCTGTCATCATTCCACAGTTGGTTCATCATACTGAATACTCATTCTACATAAGCATTGCTACAGGGTATAGATAAAATTACACAAATAATTCTTCTTAAAATTGGCTATTCTACTTTCTTGAAAAATTTNCGTCTACTAGCACTAGTAATACCGACTATTCCGTTTAATTGGGACATCGGTTAATCGGGACAGCCGCTTATTAGGGACAAATTCTAATTAATGTGGTCCATTTAACGTGAGACAAGCGATTATCTCGAAAACGGTTCATTTTACATAAAAATAAACGATAACATTTTTTGACCTTGACCTTATTTTCAAGATTATATGAAGGTCATGACCAATTTTTTAAATGGCACCCTATATATTTTATTGTAAAATCTGAATCTGTGGATAAAACTAAAGTAATTCAAAGATAAAAAAATTTGCTGTGTGGTTTTGCCAGTACAACGGCAAAACATCTTTTGAAAAAAATTGAAACTTCTTCAGAAACAATTAACTAACGTTTATAATCTAGCAAGAACAAATAAGATTTATGAATTTTTAAACATTTTCCTACCCGCTTCGATACATTGTCTTTAGTTCGTAATTCTTAGAATACTATTTAAGAATGCTCAACAAAAAAATCCAGAAGAGGTACATCGGGCGACCTGGCTCGTCGGAAATACCTTTGGAAAGAAGTCTAAAAGGTTCCGACATTTCTCCGCCTTTGTCAGTTTGATAATAGAATAACGCATAAAAAACAAGAGTTCGTGGAACTGCTTATGTCGGCACTTTCAGAATATCGCTTTCAGAGACTTAATTGGTTGAATTGTTTTAAAATGTAACAGGTAAAACTAAATTTGCATGAAAACTGCTTGGTAACAAATTATGAACCGTTTTACATTAAGGCAAAGTGTTTAAACTAAGTTATCAAATCATGGATATTCTAAGTGCGGCAGAAAAAGTCGAAATGATTTTTATTTATGGAGAAAGTGGCAGAAAAGTTGCTGATCGAAATACGCCTTCGAGAAATAGCTTTTACAGAGTTGTGAATGATTTCACTAACACTAGAAATGTGAAATTATGAAAAAGAACTCGGCGAGCAAACGTAAGCTAGCGTTGAAGTAAATCCTCAAGTTAGCACTCGACGACTTACAATTTACGCCGGAATATCGAAGACCAGCATTTTAAGAATATTAAAGCGCAACAAGTACCTATATTTATATTATTTAACCGTTATTTAGAGTTTTTTTTATTGAAAGAACGTTTTAATTATTTAACTTTTATTTAAAATTACAATTTATTACATAAGACTTTATGAATACGGAAGCGTAACTCGAACAAAAATTTAATTAATTGCTGACGCTTCATATTCGGTCATTACAGTTGTTAAGGGGAGGCTACATTTGGTAACTCCTCCCGTCTTAAAGTGAGCCAAGGATTGCGAGAGCTTCTCTCCGGGACTTGGGTTACTGAGTTTTCGCTATCCTGGACTTTTTGCCCTTTTTCCCTAGACTGAAAAGGTAGTCAATTAGCTAGCCAATTACTTCGGTGCTAGCCATTGTTGACTTCGGTCAGTAATGTTATATATAAAAAATTAATTAAAATTCGGAAGAATGAAATTTATTGGTTCTTAACTACCGGTTTCGGAAAAAATTTCCGTCATCAGGTTGTTACTACAAAACATGAGTAAAATTTTTTTAAATTTACAAAAACATGAGAAAATTATTTACCGTCAATTAATAGTGGCTGCGTGTTATAATAATTTCGGATGTTAAGATTTCCCACTTTTGAATTTCTCTCAGCATTGTTAAAATTTACAAGAAAATTGTTACGATAAACTTACACGTTAAAAATTAAAAAATCGAACAAGATCCCAAAATATCTCATTTCTACAACTGTCGAAAAGGAACTGGTATGTGCAACTTTTGGATTATTCTAAGATGGAAGATTTTCGGCAACAGGTTTAGGTGGTGAATTTACACTTATAAAAGACATAAACAAACGGTAAGAATTTATATCCGTACCTTCGTTCATTAATAATTCTTTGTTATTATTATTATATTTAGATATTTCCATTTCTTCATATAGATCTAATTTTTTAGATTTTGGAAGCTGTTTTATAAGTCTTATTGAATCTGTGTTGAACTTATGACCTGTCTCAGACGTGTGTTAAATACAGAAGATGTTTCTTTAGATATGTGTTCTTTGATTCTAATGTTGAAGTTACGTCCCGTCTGGCGTATGTATACTTTATCACAACCGCTACAATTTACTATGTATAGACCGCTCTTTTGTTTTTCTTCGATCTTTTGTTTGGAGTTGATAATTATATTGTATAGTTTTAAGTTGCTTCTGTATACTAATTTTATATCATATCTTTGTAGTATCTTTCCAATTTTGTTGAACGAATTGTGATAATTTGTTGTTAGATAGTATGCGTCGTTCTTATATGCGGGATATATGTATTTCATTATATTACGTTTTTGAACCTTGTTGTAAACCTCTTGTATAAAAGCAACGTTATAACTATTATTGAGGCCCAGCTTTATTATGTAATTCATTTCATTGTTGAAATTTTGGTCATTCATAGGTGTATGATGGCTCTATCTATCAAATATCTGAAAACTGCCTCTTTATGATTCTTTTTGTTGTAAGAATTTTTCGGAATGATGACATCGGTTGTGGTTTTTTTGTGGTATATATTAAAATCTATTTTCTTAAGGTTGATGTTTTTTAGTAAAACTAAGTCTAGAAAATAAATAGCATTATTAGATTCTTTCTCAATTGTAAACTTTAATTCACTAATGTTGTTTAAAATGTTGTAAATAGCTATAATGTTTGACTTTGGGCCTTCATGTATTATTAAGATGTCATCAACGTATCGTCCATAGTATTTGATGTTTTTAGTGAACATGTTATACTTTTCTGAATAATTGTTTTTCTATTGAATCTACATATATGTCGGCCAGTAACCCTGATAATGAAGATCCCATGGGCAGACCATTATTCATTTTATAAGTTTTATTGTTAAAAGTAAAAAAGTTTTGTGTTGTTATCTGTTCCAACATTAATTGTATGTTTTTGATGTCATGTTCTGTAAGAAATTCTAGCTCTGAATATTTATTTAGGAGGAGATGCTTAGTTATACTGAGTGTTTCTGTAATTGGTACATTCGAGTATAGATTTTTTATGTCAAACAATATTAATTGGGTTTTATTATTAATTTCGATATCTTTAATGTCATTTATTAATTGTTGGGAGTTCTTTATTGAATATTTTGATTTGAATTTAAAACTATTTTGAATTATGTTGTGAATAGCTTTTCCGATGTTTTGTGTTGGTGTGTTAATATACTAATTATGGGTCTAATTGATCTGTCCGGTTTATGTAGTTTGATTAGACTCTACATTAGTGGCGATTGCGGATTCATATTATTTATTTTGTTTACATTTATGTTAAACTTACAAAGATTCTTGCATCATTCATTGTTGTCAATTAGAGATTCTTCATGTGGATGTTTTCCAGTTGCCAAGGTGATTTTTCTTCTGGTATGGTGGACAAATTTACAGCGGCTAAATGGAATTTCTCCTGTTGAGTTGCCTTGAAACAGTATGCATTCCGATTCGGTGGGATGTATACTTTCTTCCTGTAGTCGAGATGTTTTCTTATGAGTACACATTGATATGGAAAGGTGTCGCAGTATTTCATAGTACTTGTAGCTTGACATAGATATTCTACGCGTTGGAATTCTTTACATTTGGTAACGGTTGTAAAGTACTCATCTTTATTTTAGCTAGGTACGGTTGGGGGATGTTGAGAATAAGGTAATGGGATTATTGTTTAATAGGTAATGGAATTGTTGTATTATCTGTAACAATGACTTGTTTCTTTGTATCAAGCGAAGTTCCTAATTTTATTAATAGATCGAAACCAAAAAAACCATCCAATGTACGTGAAAAATCAAAGCATACAAATAAATGATATTCCGGTGATTTAAAGATGTTAGGAAGCGGTGCGTAAACCGCGCTTCTTGTTTTTTCAACTCCGTGAGGTGTTCTTATATTAAATTCCTGAGTTTCGCATGCGTAAACCCACTTAATTTCGTCATACAACTTTGAATTGATAAGAGAACATTCTGCTCCAATTCAAATTTTTCAAGAATAGATGAAGTTTTCAGTAGATGCTATTGTTGAAGTATTTAACAGTTGACGACGAAAGCAATGATGACGTTGATGATTTTCAACATATTCCCGTAACGAATAAGTAAGCAAAAAAATGTATAGTTACACTTTTAAAAGTGTAAGATACATACACTTTTTCCCCATTTTATTAAAACATTTTAGAAAATTGGTTTTTGTTTTAATTTATGCGTACCTTTATTGGAACAATCGTTTAATTGGAATAAAATGTGTCGATCCCGATGTGTCCCAATTAAGCGGAATCGACTGTATAATAATTCAACCAAAATTAAAACCTCAAAATCAATATACATAGGTTATTTTTTAATGTAATAATTTTGTCACATGTCACGTTATTATAAAATTTTATTTTCCAACTAAAGACCAAAAAAATGTGTTTAACAAATTATGTTTTAAAACTATCAATTATATTCGCAATAATTTTCATTGTGACTGTTTTAATAAATCTCATAATTTACATTATAATATTACAAGATTGTTATACCCGTGGTAGTGTGATTAATGTAGGAGTTCACGGGGCCATTTTAATATCTTGCATGCCGTTGGTATTTGGCTTAATCTTAAGCATTTATATTCTTCTTATTCCCGGATTAATGGGTTTGATATTTGCAATTATTAATAATATTACTTGGTTACTCGTTTATACGAAATACTACGAGTCTCATGGTAGGAATGTAGTTTTAAATCAAGCTCTCGCCAAAGATAACAAGTACTATTTAGTGCATGGAATAGAATTGGTTTTTGCCGTTGTACTTTTTCTCGCAATCTTAGCGTGTTATTTACAAGACCGCACGAAATCGCGACGTATTGAAAGTGATATTGATGATACTTATTTTTATACGTATAAAAGATATGGTATTATGGGATTCATTCAAATAAAAATAAGGTGTTATATTAAAAAATTTTGATTTTAGAGGGGATATTTACATAGTTTATGGAAATAATTCTGGATCCACCGAAATTTATTATAACCAAGCAACATCGGCTAATGCAGGTCTACCAACACCGGCAGATCAAATGAGTATTGTTTCATTAAAAGCCAAAAGAAGATTAGAAAGGGATCACGCCATTGTACTACATTAAATCATCAAAAAAAGTTTTTGTTTTTATATTAGCCCTTTAACTCACAATTTTAAAGAATTAAATTTATTTGGTAGATTATAATTTGGACGTCTCGGGTGTTTTTCGAGAATTTCATAAACATTGAAAATGTGTTTAAAGGGTTAAAATAATATATTGCTATTCGAGTACTTAGAAGTTAAATAGTGCGTTAGTTATTTATTGTATTTTTGTTTAAATTGATTGATATTTTAGTCGAAGAAGTACTTTAAAACTGTATGGTATTGTAGTTACATTTCAAAACGTACTCAATAGATATTATTATTTACTGTGTTTAGAGTTGATGTTGAAAAAATAGTTTATGAGTTTTATTAGAAAGTTTTCTGTTTCCGTTTTTTATTTTGGAATTGTTAGAATCTAGTCCGTCGAAAATTTGTATGTGATATTTATGTTAACGTAAACGTCACGATAGAAAAAAATGTTCTCTCTGTGTGATATATAACATTCCATTCATTTAAAATAAATGTTTACAAACTCATTACAATATTTCGTTTTATTGTATAATAAATATAAATTCCGTTTCTATGATTACAAACATTTTTCTGCACGTATTTTGATATCGAATTTATCTCAACACCTTTTAGATGAAATTTATTTAACAAATATAAATTAAATACGTCAATGATAACTTATCGTATCATTTGTTACAACTGATCGATTATATTTTGTGATTTGTACAAACAAAAATTTTATTTTTTATCCATTTCAATGCAAATCCTTGAAAAGTGATGTAATGTTTTGTTTGTTATTTTTTTTTTGTTAACAAAACAATTATTAATATTGATATTAATCTTTTAATAATTACATGATTGCGTATTTGGTTCAGTAATTACATCCAATTGTTGATGAAAAATAAAAAGATAAGAACTTTAAAGTGTTCAAAAATTATTTATATTAATTAAAGAGACCCATACTGATTTTATTAACAAATTTTGCAGTATTAAAGGTTTTTTCTCAGATTTTCATTTCCATCCGGAAATTGATTGTCATCTCACGTTGCGGGTTCTTTAATATTTTTATTGATGACATTAGTTCTAAACTTCACTGTAATTACCATCTATATGCCAATCAGTTGTTGATCTACACTCATCTTCAGCCACTTAACAATTTATCTGGGAAGTCGCATCATCATTTCATGTTTGCAACTGTCGAGATTAACAGATTTTAAGGAATCTTTGATAATATTTGGATTCTTTATAGATCGTACATTACCTTGGTCATCACAAATTGCTGATTTTTTAAGTGGATTTACCATTGTTTTTGAGCTTAACCGGGCTTAACGGTTAATTGAAGATGTTTAGAAAATAATGTTTAGCATTTTATACCAATATTCATAAAAATATACAATACATATAGTCAAACCCTCTTCCACCCACTTCACACCTTCGGCTTCTCGCTGCAACCACCGCCCTCTCACAAAATCTGTCACCGGTCTGCCACCATTATGTATGTATTTGGTTTTTTGTAACTTATGAACCTTATGCCATTGTCATTACACTCTTGTTACAAGATTTGCAAAGGGAATATGAAGATATGCTATGATTTTATGCCTTTGGCATTCTCATAATACGTGTCCTTTTCCAGTTTCTTTTTTTTCGCGGTTGGGGCGTGACAATTAATAATAATAATAATATTTATTAACCCCATATTATACACTGCAAAAAGAAGGGTAATACAAAAAAAATCAATTGATCAAAGGAAAGTATATAGACTAATAATAATACTAATAAATAATAAATGGAGTTAAAGAGGGCCAAGTTAATTAGCGAAAACGCAAACTGTTTTTCATTAGCCCTTGAAAGTCTTAAATGAAATTACATCCAAAACCCATCCCAGCACCAACCCCACCTGCAACGCCAATTCAAAGATTTGAAGGTTTTATAAAATTCGTGATATGCCTAATGATTGCCCGCTTCCTGCTACTGTCTCCGCAGTAGGAATTCTACCGCACATTCTCCAGCTTTATAGTAAGTGGGATATTGTTATAAATGCTAGGCACACAATAGGAATAGGTCTCTGTATGTGTAACAAAACGAAAATGGTTTAAGCATTGCACAGCAAAATCGACAAAAAACCAGTTCATGATCAGAGATCTCAGGATGAAGAACCCCAGAGTCCAATACTGTAGAAGAATCAGACACCACAATAACATCAATAGTCTTCATCGAACTATCAGTAATTCGGGTAGGCTCACCTATTAATTGAGTTATATCAAGTGTTTGAAACATATTCAACAATCTTGCAACATAATTGTTGCTAGTATCAAGAACATCAATATTAATATCCCCCAAACTGAAAACATAATCAAACCTGAACCGCATTTCCAACAATTGGCCTTCAAAATCAGTCCTATAAACACAGCCGATCGCGTACGTTTTTGATTTAATGTGTACAGATAATCAAATTTTCTCATACCCAACAACATCCGTTTCAGGATAATTTGTTGAAGGCTAACCTGTTTAATAGTAGGAATGTACCGACTGCCATAACAGCCATTAATATCTAAGCCATTAATGTTAAAATCACCCATGCAGACAAGTTCTTCAGATGTTGGAGCAAGGGAAGACAGAAATGAGCGAGAAAGCCAAAGCCATTGTGAGGCCGGTAAACAACGCCAATAACATTGACAAGTTTAAACCTCCGAACATCAAATTTCAGAGTCGACCTGATGTAGAAACCGACTCCACCACCGCCACCCGCGTTGGAGTGATTATGAAAGCGAAATCGACTAGCAAAAAGGCATCGATTGCCGTTGACAGAATATCTCGAAACGTCTACATCCGTGTAAATCCAAGTTTCAGTGATAGCAAATATATCGAAGTCTCCATCAATAATCTGATCCCTAAAAGCAGGAAAATGAGCAAAAAAACTTGATTGAAAAAAAAATTGATTATACTGTAATTGAAGAACTTTCTCTTTGTTCAGAGCTTGCCGCTCTCCCTGGAAACTATAGAATACTGGCTTCTTTTTGCTATTGTATCCATCCCTTTCCATATTATTTCTTGCACCCTGTCTACAGGCTGGCCCGCAACGATTGTACAATACTGCATCAGCGTATTCTCTGATCGAAAACAGACAAGAAAAGTCTAATAAACATAGGTCCGAAAATGGACCAATTTCGAGATATTCAAAGTTTTAGTTTCATAAGCTGACCTATTGTAAACATCATTAATTCTAACGATTTAGATGCAGTAATTATATGATTACCATGGTTACGATGGTTAAGATAAAGTTTAATAAATAATAAGATAATATTAAGTTAATTAATACAGTTCATTAATAATTTAACAAAACAAGTAACAAAGATTGTCGAAGAAAATCGTTCAACCAGCATAAAAACAACGAATATTTAACAAATTGGAAAAGATTCATGTCATAATAAATGTTCAATATGCGCACCATTTACTTCTAAACACAAACGGATACGTTTTCTAAATGAACTTCTAATGCGTTCAAAGATACCAGGAATTTGTTTTACTGTGTCAAATGCGTTACTAATTTTATTCTTCAAATCCTGCACATTTTGAACGTCTTCAGAATAAACAATTTGTTTTAAATGTCCCCAAAACCAAAAATCTAACGGATTTAAATCTGGTGAACGAGGTGGCCACGGGACAGGACCTCCTCGGCCAATCCACTTATTGCCAAATCTGTTATTTAAGTATGCTCGAGTAGCGCGTGCATAATGTGCTGGTGCTCCATCGTGCATAAAGTAGCAATCTTCTAGAATTTGTTGAGGTAATTCATCAAATGCCTCTGTAAGGTCATTTTGTAAAAAATGTATGTAGGCATCGGCTATCAATCTCTTTGGAAGAAAAAGTGGACCTAATAATTGATCACCTATAACTCCAGCCCATACATTAACACTGAATCGCCACTGATGATGAGTTTCTAGTATTGCATGGGGATTTTCATAGCTCCAAACATGCGCATTATGAATATTAAAAATTCCACTTTGAGTAAATGTTGCTTCATCCGTAAATACAACGTTTATGGGAAAGTCGACGTTTACTACCTCTTCCTGTATGGCCCACCTACAAAAAATCTCTTTTTTCGCCATCATTTTCTGGTAGAGCTTGAACGGTGTTGTAATGATAAGGATAAAGCAACTGCTCCCTTAAAATGCGGTGAACGTTTTCTTGTGCAGAAATTCTTCTAATGCTGGTTGAGGCATTTTCATCGACTCTTCTCAAAACTGCTTCTTCTAATTCCACCGGCCTTGTGTAATGTCTCTCCGTGGAATGGCTGTGGGTTACGCTTCCCGTTTCTTTTAATCTGAGAAATAGTCTGCTAAAGGTGTGACTATTAGGCAATCGTCTGTTCGGGAACCTTTGCGCGTAATGACGAGCTGCTAACGACGCATTTCCATCAGCTAGTCCGTAACAATACACCATATCCGCCATCTCTTCCTTGGAGTAATTAATAGGAGCCATACTTAATAGTTTTATTAAATTAAATAGTAAAATAATAATTTCGTGAAGTATTATTATTTTTTTTTGATTAGACAACTTATCGTAATCATAGTAACGACTTAATTATTATAAAAACAAATTTAAATTCATGATGTTAACAATATCAACTTATGAAACTAAATCTTTGAATATCTCGAAAATGGTCCATTTTCGGACCTATGTTTATTAGGCTTTTTTGTTTATTTTTGATCATAGAATACGTTGATGCAGTTTTGTACAATCGTTGCGGGACACTCTGTATAAAGCATCGTAGTGGCCCATGTTGCATTCATAGGTTCATTTCTTTCTTCTATTTGCTCTCTTTGTAGTTGTTTTTCTTGATGTTTTTCTGTGTTCTACCATACACAGAATTATTTGTATTAACCATATTTTTTTAACTTCTATTTGTTCTATTTCGTCTTTCCATAAATAAAAATGTAATACATAAACAAATGATTTTTTTTCTTCTCTTTCAAAGAAATTCTTACATTTTTATTTCTAATGATTTACTTTCATCTTACACATGTCGATCTGAAAAGTTTATCAGAATTATATGACGATATTCAGAAATATCATCATATAAACAAAATCGACAACATACTCAGTGTTGCACAATGAAATATTTTGAACAAGTCAATTATAACTTTGAGAAAAATTTTCTACAGATAAATAAAAATATATAGACTCAGATGATTCATTTAAATTAAATTTTATTTTATTTTTTTGACATGTTTTGGCAACCTTGTCCTCGCTACATCTAATCCCAATAAAGAAAATATGAAATGAACGATAACAAAATTATTAAGTATTTAATTTTTTGATTTGTTTTCTTTAAAACTTATTATTAAACGTACTTAAAATAATGACAAATTAATGTAATTAATTATTAAAATCGATGATAAAATTCCATGTTAACTGATCTTAAGTACATACGCGTAAACGCGTAATCTTTTTAAGTAATCATCAAAGACAAGGTTGGTAAAGAACCTTGTTGTATTGAATAGAAATATATATAAATTTCGGAGATTATCACTTCATTTGAGTGATTATCTTGGGTATTTTAAAAGAAATCTCTTTAAATCTTGATCTATTTATATTTTGCTGATACGGATTTGCTTTATAAGGCCGCTAAATCAGAATTTTCGAATACTTCACTGGAAAGATGAAGCTTTTTGTTGTTTTTGCGGCATTGTTGGCTTGCGCCCTCGGTAAACATTTTTTAATTATTTCAAAGTATCAATTATTACTAATTTATTTTTAATTTTAGCTGGACCTATGGTCCGCGTGGACCCAAACCTTGATTGGCGCATCGTTGGAGGTTCTAACGCTGCATCTGGTCAATTTCCTTTCATGGTCTCCCAAAGAAGTGGTTCGACCACCAGTCATATGTGTGGTGGTACTATTATTAACAATAGGTGGATCTTGTCTGCTGCACATTGTCTTACCGGGTAAATTATTAAATAGTAAAAAATTAAATAGGTTTTAATTTTTTTTTTATTTTATAGTTCCGGAGCTATTACTTTCGTAGCTGGTTCTCATTTGATTTTAACTGGAGGTGTTCGTTTTGCGGTTTCCAGACGTCTTATTCACGCCAATTACAACCCAACTTTAATCTCCAACGATGTTGGTGTAGTTCAATTAGCCAGCGCCATATCTTTTGGTAACCTTATCCAACCAATTGCTTTGGAAAGTGGCAATGTTGGAGCTGTTGCTGCTACCGTAGTCGGTTGGGGAAGAATCCAAACTGGAGGAGCTATTCCTAATAATCTCCAATGGTTGAATTTGAACTCCATCACTGTCGCTGATTGTCAAAATAGACATAGTCACCCCGTATTCGCTAACAACATTTGCTCGCTCGCTCCCAACGGTCAAGGTATTTGCCAAGGTGATTCTGGTGGCCCACTTCTTCGTCGTGGAACTAATATTCAACTTGGTATTGCATCATGGGTTATTCCATGTGCTCGTGGATGGCCAGATGTATTCGCTAGAGTTTCCTCCTTCTTACCTTGGATTAATAACGCTATTACCTCTTAAATTCTTTAATTCTGTGACATTTCATGATTCTTAATAAATAATTAAAAAAAATTGAGTATTGTTTTAATAAGTTTTATCTTTCGCTTATAAGAAAAATTTACTTTAATCATTTACTTTGGTCATCATTACGTTAGTCTTTCAGTTATTTATTTATTTAATTAGTTGTTTAGTTAATTATTTCTGAACATTGTGCTAGCTTCAGATAGGTAACAGCAATATTCTCAGATGAAAAGAACATACAGATTTATAAACCATCGGCACAAGTTAATAGTATAGTACCTTGATAAGATTCTGATGAATTTCTTACTTCAACGAACGCCCGTGGACATTTCAACAAGACTCAGGCCCCACAAGAATCTTAACAGTCTCGGCTGTTAAGAAACAAACTTTGATTTTACGTTATTATTTGTTCATATTTGATCAAAATTTATGAACAATTTCATGTCTCCATGTTCAACCGTCCTATCGGGTTGTTGTTATACCTTGGTTGTATTAATGCAATTTTTGCTATTTTCCGAATCAGATTACGTTTGAATATATTGGTACATTTTCTGTATTCACACTTTTCAATTGGTATACATTTTTAAAGTATTAACAGCAGCAAACAATAATATAAAAATCACATGCACCACAAGTATAATATTACAATATGCTAATGTAACAAACACAACTGTGTGACTACAAATGGAACGTGTTTAAGATGCAGAGAGTAATTGATGAAATAAATATACTTTTGTAAGATAGTTTTAGCCGGACGAATGCGCCCATAGCAAAACCATATACATTTTGAGGTATATAACTTTACATTTAATTTGGATTTTGAATACAATTAGAAATAAACATGAAGATAATTCAAAAGAATATAATAATATGCTTATTTAATTATGGGAAACTATTAAAAGTGAAGTTCCACTATTGCTATATGTAAGCTCTGCACTGGTTTCTGCAGTTCTTCGTAAATATGTTCCTTGTTATTTCCGTTTATTCTTTGTGTTGTATATACAGGCTGGTCCATTTAACGTGAGACGATTATCTCGAAAACGGTTCATTTTACATAATAGGTAATGAAAGTTGTTCTGTGCAAAGGGAGAAACCATATGACGATAACATTTTTTGACTTTGACCTTATTTTCAAGGTTATATGAAGGTCACGAGCAATTCTTTAAATGGCACCCTATATATTTTATTGTAAAATCTGAATCTGTGGACAAAAGTAAAGCAATTAAAAAAAAAATTTTACTGTGTGGTTTTGCCAGTACAACAGCAAATATCTTTTGAAAAAAATTGAAACTTCTTCAGAAACAATTAACTAACGTTTATAATCTAGCAAGAATAAATAAGATTTATGAGTTTTTAAACATTTTCCTACCCTCTTCGATACATTGTCTAGTTCTTAATTCTTAGAATACTATTTAAGAATGCACAACAAAAAAATCCAGAAGAGGTACATCGGGTGACCTGGCTCGCCGAAAATACCTTTGGAAAGGGATCTAAAAGGTTCCGACATTTCTCCGCCTTTGTCAATTTGATAACAGAACAACGCATAAAAAACAAGAGTTCGTGAAACTGCTTATGTCGGCATTTTCAGAATAGCGCTTTCAGAGACTTAATTGGTTGAATTGTTTTAAAATGTAACAGGTAAAACTAAATTTGCATAAAAACTGCTTGGCAACAAATTCTTCCATCGTTTTACATTCAGGCAAAGTGTTTAAACTAAGTCATTAAATCATGGATACTCTAAGTGTGGCAGAAAAAGTCTAAATGATTTTTATTTATGGAGAAAATGGCAGAAACGTTGCTGATAGTATATCTTTGTATCGAGAACGTTTTCCTGATCAAAATACGCCTACGAAAATTACCTTTTACAGAGTTGTGAATGATTTCAGTAACACTGGACATGTGGAATCAAGAAAAAGAACTCGGCGAGTAACTGTAACTACGGAAGAAAAGGAAATTGCGGTATTACCTAGCGTTGATTAAATTTAATTTTAAAAATATTACCCATACCACATTTCATTGCATCAACAGCTTTATGGAGGTGATTTTCAAAATCGATTAATATTTTGTGAATGAGCACAAGAACGAATGCGGTTGGACATCAATTTCTTTGATAACGTGCTATTCTCGGATGAATATACTTTTACAAACAAAGGACAAGTCAATAGACATAACATGCATTATTGGAGCGTTGAAAATCCAAGATGGTTGGGTGAAGTAGAACATCAACGACCTTGGTCGGATAATGTTTGGTGTGGGATAATTGGTGATAAATTGATCGGTCCACAGTTTATTGATGGTATGCTGAATGGAGTAGATACGTCATCTTAACCACATTACTTGCAGACTTGAGCAGGGAAGAAAGACAAAATATGTGGCTGCAAAATGATGGGTGTCCAGCACATTTTTCACATATTGCACGTGAAGCTTCAGATCGGGATTATGCTGGGCGATGGATTGGAAGGGGAAGTCCAATTTCCTGGCCTGCCAGATCACCTGATTTAACACCTCTTGATTTTTTTTTGTGGGGCGTCCTTAAGGATAATGTTTATCGCGAAGTACCGACTACGGCAGAAAACATGAAAGAGCGGATAACAAATGCATGCAGAAATAGTAGCCAAGAAAACCTTTTAAGATGTAAGATATGTTTTAGTAGAAGGGTTAATAAATATATTGAATTGGGTGGGGAAATATTTGAACATTTATTATAAATTTTATACCTGTTGTTGATTAATAGTATAGTTCAATCATTTTTTTTTATAAATAAACAATATTTAAAACTATTTGAATAAAAAAATTATTTAGATTTTGTCTACAAAAGATGTTTCGCCGTCGTACTGGCAAAACCACACGGTAATTTTTCTTTTTTTTTTTTTAATTATTTTACTTTTATCCATAGATTCAGATTTTGCAATCAAACACATACGGTGCCATTTAAAAAATGAGTCGTGACCTTCATATAACCTTGAAAATAAGGTCAAGGTCAAAAAATGTTATGGTTCTATAGTTCCCTCTTCGCACATAATAACTTTCATTTGGTTCATTTTTATGAACCAAATGTATGATCGTATGATCATAACAATATTATAACGTTTAACTGTTAAGTGTTTATCATGTTGATTAAGGTTAAAATAACTTTAATTAGATCACTATCGCTTTTTGATTTACATTTACACGCATCGTGTTAATTAAGTTAACATGACGCATATTATTTATTAATAAATCTTTGTTTTAATCAAAGGAGAAACTGTTCATTTCGTTTTCTTTAACTTTTAATTGTTCTCAATGTTTTCTTTAATAAAGTATCAATATTATTAAAATACTAATTATTTATTGAATTACTTTATTTTTCATTTTTACAAAAATCAAAACATACAGTACCACTACATTCAAAAATTTAAGAACTGATGGCATTGTTGATCCAGGCAATGAAGGATGATACTCTAGCGTAGACATCAGGGAATCCACGTGCGCATGGGATACCCCAGGAGACAATACCGGCTTGGGTGCGAGTGTTACGGAGAACCAATGGGCCACCGGAGTCACCATGGCAAGCTCCTTGTCCGGATGGGGTGGTGGTGCAAAGACTGCTAGCGAAGATTGGGTTGGGGCTGACACGAGATTGGCAAACGGCGTTGGTGATGGTCGATTTGTGCAAGAATTGCAAGTTATTTGGGATGGAACCACCTTGGGACAAACGACCCCAACCGGCAAGGGTGACGGCAACGTTTCCACCAACGGCGGAAGTTGTCAAAGAGACTGGTTGAATAGCAGTGGTGAATCCAATGTTGCTGCCTACTTGGACAACAGCGACATCGTTGGCGATGGTGCTTGGGTTGTAGTTAGCGTGCAAGATACGTCTGCTGACGGAAAATCTGGTTCCTCCAGAAAGGAGTTGGTTAGATCCCGCTACGAAAGTGATGGTTCCAGATCTGCAATGGATTATTTTAAAAACATTCCTAAAGAGAATTTATCAAAATTGGTATACCCAGTAAGACAGTGAGCAGCAGAAAGAATCCATCTGTTGTTAAGAATGGAACCACCGCACATGTGACTGGTGGTGGAACCACTCCTTTGGGAAACGATGAAAGGGAATTGACCACCGCTGGCGGTTGAACCACCAACTACTCTCCAGTCATCTTCTGGGTCAATTCTGACCATGGGAGTAGCTGAAACATAAACATTACAATTTCCACATAAAAAAAACTTTAAAAATTATTTATTATCTTACCGGCAATGCACGCCACGAAAGCTGCGAGTACAACGAATACCTTCATCTTGCGATTATTAGAAGAAAGTGATGCAAACCGCAGTTTAACCACGGTTTTTATACCCAAACTTTTCTTTGAAGGATATCCTGAGATCAATCATAACAGAATTAAATATAATTTTTTAACTTATCTAAAAATCTGAACAAGTCTCAAGCGAATCAATTTTATTTTGCGTAAGATAAGCACAAGACAATTTCATCTCATTTCTAATCTCTTCATTGCCAAAAATCGACACCGTACGTATTTTATAATGTTAAATAATTTTAAAATATAATTTTTTCGGATGATAAGGGTTATCTTAAATGACAATCATGACACGTAAAAAATGATTATCTACAACATGCTAATAACATTGATTAATCTAAGTAAAGAAGACGGGACTTTTTTTGCTTACCTATTTATAATTTACAAATAATTTTTAAAGATAACGCTGTAAAGACGAAAGTTATTATAGCTTTATTTTTGTTGCTTGTTCCGCTTCGATATCACTTGAACTAAAAATACATCGAGATCTTGTCTTCAACTAAATCTAAAAAAGTAGTCAAGATTAATTATAATAAATTACACGTTTGGTAAAATATTTCCTTAATAAACTTCTGCCCATGTACTTATGTAGATAACGCTAGATTCCCTCCACATATTCCAATATTTATAATGAACTATTTTGAATTAATTTTCTCTATAACAGATAATATCAAAGACTATCTAGAAGCAAAGATACATATGATGAGATCATTGGTAATGAAGAACTATAAGTAGAATAGGTGAAAATTTACATCCAATCTTGAAAGAAAAAGTTTCTTTAGAATGTGTAGAGAAAGTGCGAACAATCAAACAATCAACGCCGTAAGGATCAAGCAAGCAAGAGGAAACAACTGCAGGCAGCGCAAGATCCATGTATGAACGTGGAAAAATCTATAATATTATACATAAAATTCAAAAACGGAAGCTTAACATCTTGGGAGTCAGTGAATCAAGATGGAAAAATCATGACTAAGTCGCAATAAAGACAAGTTCTACTTCTCTAGAGATAAAGATAGTCATCACAGACGTGGTGTACCAATTAGAGTCTCAAAAGAGACTATGGCGTCCGTCATCAATTTTGTCCCTATCTCAAATCGAATAATGCTCCTACAAATACAGACTAACTCAATAAATATTTTACAAATATATGCCCCTCCTGCAGACAAATCCGACGAAAAAATTGAGCTATTCTACAAAGTAATCAAACATATGCTTAAATCATTAAAGACAAGAGATATCACTATAATAGATGTGACAAGTACGTGTGTGGGTTAATACAATTAATGCAACGACTAAACTGAACGACTTGATGGAAAAATACTTGGTGGATAAAACTGATAACAAGAAACTGACAAGGAAATAGACAAGGTCTTAGTAAACACGAGATATAAGAATTGTATCAAATCAGTTGCAAATCACTGCAGGTTGACGTAAAAAAAAACTTGAAAACTTTGGAAAATAAGGAAGAATACCAACACTTGAAAAGTGTGAATGAAAAATGTTGCGACATCAAATCAACCTTATTGGAACCCTAGATGGGCATTAACGAAATCTTGCTTTCATGGATAAGAGAAGAAACTTCAAAGGAAAAAATAGTAAGCAGTAAAAGGTACATTAAATAGACTACATATCGGGTAGGCGGACCAACCAACCTTGCACCGCGACCCTAAGGATCTATTGTACCCCGATAGATATCGTTATCAAATTTCACCGTGCAGTCCAATGCTCTTAACGAACATTAATACCTTGCTTGGTGAAAGGTCACTCAGATCCTTTGAGGATCCAACGTGACAATTATGATAACGTGATAATTACTTAGACATATGAGTAATGTGTTATACCTGATATACAATAGTGCATTTACAGCAAACTACGCCATTACCTAAGATAGTTTTATAGTTTGGCGTTCATTGTATAACTCAGGTGAAAGTCGTACTTTTTAGTTGGGCAGGTGATATCGCCAATAGATGCCATGAAATAGATAGCTGCTTACTTTGTTGCTCTGATATTGAACACTTAATGATATGGATAATGGATATGTTATAGACTAATGAGGAATCTAAAAAAAAACTAGAACTTCACCATCGTTTGTATCAATACTTAATACTAAACTAGTATTTTGTGACTTTTTTAAGTAATTCATGATAATTTCCTCGAAGTTGACCAGTCTTATTTTGATAATGTGGTTATTTAAAACAGATTGTAAGTAAAAAAGTTCCAGCTGAAAAACTGCTTCATTCAAAAGCGACCAAGAGTTTGATCAGACGAATTCGGTTGAAACGGAGCCGCTGCAAAGTGTTTCTAAGCTTTGACTGGATATGGTATTAGTTGCAGTGAATCAGTCGCAACCTACCTCGGCTTAATCATGTAAGCTTCTACATTCTCTGTTTTGAGTTTAGCCAAGATCGCAAAAGAAAACCAGATACTAATACTAATACAACTAATACAAAATTTGGGATATGTTTATATTGGGGTATTATTTTTTTCGAGATTTGACATTCGCATTGCCAGATTTACCGTTTTTCTGAGTCACTTTGGATTTTTAGATGCTACACCCTGTGTTGTAATTTGTATCTTTTTTATACACATTTTTGCTTTTTTTATTTGTATTTAAATTAGTTTTTCGATTTGTCAAGAATCATAGCAATAAGAAGTTTTTGTTTTGTTTTCGTTGTTGTTGACAACAAGCGCGTCACTAATAATAAGATTTTTGTAAGAGCGTCGTTTTGAGTCGTGTCGTACCTTCGTTATAATTAATAAATAATTCGTTACAACAAAAGGCAGCAAATCGTTATTCGTTACGAAGAAGTGTTAACCAGCGCTATAACATACGTTATATTATTCAACACCCTGTATTACTTCATTTCTGGAATCTTATTGGTAAAATACATAATACCTACTCAATTAAACGTTCAAAATCGATGGTATACGTTAATTAGGCAAGCTGATTATTAAAGAGTGCAGTTCGTTACTTGCACAACAAAGTCTGCTACAAGCGAAGACATAGAATATCTATTTCTTAACTACGTCAATTTCGTTCCTTCCAGTTTATGTATGTACTTGTTCAGAGGCCATAGAGATAGGTTTCTGATATCAATTAAAAAACATTTTACTGAATATTGGAAAACTTAGCATTTGAAAAAATATTTGAAAAAGACATAAAGACCAATCTTCCATGTCTCACGAGTAAAAGGTATGCTCAAATCAAAATTATTAGGGAATACACAATCATTTACCACCATCATATCAAATCTCAATATCATAAGAATTAGATCATCCAAGCTTTATATTTGAGAACGAAATGATCACCTTCCAATAACTTTTCTATTGTAGTTCCACAAACATTTTTTCTTTTACAGCTTCATTACAAAAAGAATGTGTTCAAATCGTCAACTAAACACACTGGAGTTGACAATAAACTTAGAGAGATCTTGAAGTTGTGAAATACTTAATGCTGTGTAATTCGATTTATCATTAATCAAACATTTTTGAAAATTAAAAAATCACACCTACTTTATTTATCGGAATAACAAAAAAATTGTTACATTAAAATTATGGTTTTTACAATGATCAAATTATACAAAAATATTTGAGAAAAAAAAATTAAGAACTGATGGCGTTGTTGATCCAGGCAATGAAGGATGATACTCTAGCATAGACATCAGGGAATCCACGACCGCATGGGATACCCCAGGAGACAATACCAGCTTGGGTAAAAGTTCCACGGAGAACCAATGGGCCACCAGAGTCACCATGGCAAGCTCCTTGTCCGGATGGGGTGGTGGTGCAAAGACTGGTGGCGAAGATTGGGTTGGGGCTGACACGGGATTGGCAAACGGCGTTGGTGATGGTCGATTTGTGCAAGAATTGCAAGTTATTTGGGATAGAACCACCTTGGGACAAACGACCCCAACCGGCGAGAGTGACGGCAACGTTTCCACCAACAACGGAAGTTGTCAAAGAGACTGGTTGAATAACAGTGGTGAACGCAATGTTGCTGCCTAATTGGACAACAGCGACATCGTTGGCGATGGTGCTTGGGTTGTAGTTAGCGTGCAAGATACGTCTGCTGACGGAAAATCTGGTTCCTCCAGAAAGGAGTTGGTTAGATCCAGCTACGAAAGTAACGGTTCCAGATCGTTTTTTTTCGTTGACAGATATTCTGAGATAATTTATAAAACATTAAAAACAATAGTTATTTCTTAACTTATCTAAAAATCTCAACAATTTCATCTTGTTCTAAATTTCTTAATTACCAAAAAAATCGCAAACCAACGATTTCGCTATTTGAAATCCCTGAAATATCTTAATTTGATCTTTTCGATTGATAAGTGTTATCTTAAGTTAGAACTAATACGTTTCAATGAGTGTCGTCAACTTATATCAATATTATTGATTGATTTAAGTAACGACAACGGTACTTTTTTGGTTACAAATGAAAGATTAAAAACAGTTTTAAAGATTACGATTTTTGGTTGAAATTAGATGTAAAACATTACTAATAATAATTTAAATGTTTCGGAAGATTTTTTTATCCCCAACTTTAACAGAAATATCGGATAATTTCCATTTAGTGCGATGTTCGGAAATTGTTCGCGACAATTGAAAGAAAACGTGAGGACGAGAGATATTTCAAAGAAGGAAGCTTTTAAGCCCCGAGCTACACCCGGGCGCGAGCAGACCGAAACGTAATTTATTCCGGAAACCGGAAAAGACGTAACCGTTACGGCAAGATGAAAATCAAAATAAGGAAAAGACGCGAGAATCGGTAAAACACGCCTTCTTTTTCCCTCAGTGACGATTCTGTAGCACTTACTAAGATTCGAAATCTTCCTTCAATTTTAGGGGATTTCTCTTCCTTTTGCAATAGTTTGGAAAACCCGAAATCTCTTTGTTAAGAATAATATTGATTTGGCTGAAAATACTAAATGATAAAAATAAATGTGAATTTTTATTCTATCTAGTGTTGTACGTAAATAATCTGTTATTTTCTATATGAATAGCGTTGGATTACCAAAAACTTGTATTTTCCAGGCAAAGCACTTGTTTCGTGGAATTTCATTTATTTCATATCAGCATGTTAGATCTTGTTTCTGAGTGCATTTTTATTGATTCACTTTTGTATTCCATTCCTTTTTCCTGTTATCTGTGAAATTGTTCATATTTTCTACTTCATATAATCTTCTTACATCTTCGCTTGTTTCTCTATGGTAGAGAGTTTCACAAATAATTTTGCGATATATCTTCATTTCTGCTGTTTACAATATTCGGTTTGTTTAAGTGTCGTTTAAGTAGCCTGCAATTTTATTGGCTTTCCTGACTTGTTGGAAACTTGATTGCTCAACTCCCAAGTACTTGAATGACATGACCTGTTCTACTACATTCTGATTCACTTCTAGCTTACAGCGCAGCTCTTTCACTGTTGTCATGCATTTAGTTTTTTGAATGGCTATGGACATGTTGAATTTTTTTGTTATGTTGTAGGTTTCTTTGTAGATTGTTTTCGTTTTCCCTACTGCCCCTTTTCCTTACTCTTCCTATACTGCATCATCAGTATTACAGAGGATTATAAATTCCTTTTCCCATTCTACAGCTTCTGCCCATCTCAACATTTTTTATGACTACTCCATTACAATATTGAATAGTAGTGGCCTAAATGAGTTTCCTTGTAGAATTTCAGTATTTACAGGTATTTCCTTAGTGAATTTCTTATCTGTTCATGCTTATATGCTGTTTTTCGAATAAAAGTTTTTGATGATTCTAACAACATTTGTCGGTATTCCGCAAATTTATGACATCCTATAATCTGATCTTATCAAAAGTCTTATGTAAATCAATAAAACATAAAAATTACCTTCCTGTGCTACAGCTTTGTTGTTTTTCGGTCAGTGTTTTAATGGAATTAATTTTGGTTGTGGTAACCTTAGTTACTAGTTTGGGCATGATGTTGAATATGTTGTTTTGAATATCTTCTTTTATTTTGTTTTTCAGTTTATCTCAGCAGTTTTCTATATCGTTTTCCCATGCTACCGAATTTATACTAATTTTCTCGGCTAGCCTTTATTGTCACAGAAGTATCGTGGATTAATTCCACAATGTTGATCTTTTCTTCTTCCGGTAAGTTGTCCTTTGATGAATTTCTTGTTACTTGTAAATCTTCCTAAACCTCCTACGTGAGCCAAATTTGTGTTCTGGCATCTAGTATTTAGGATGGCAATACATTTCGGTTGCTCAAAATGTATTCATGGATTACTGATCTCTACTATTTTTGATTGTGTCTTGTATGTATGTTTGTGTTTCTAGAACGTGTTATTAATCCTAAAGTTGATGAGTGAGTGTAGGTTCACCATTAATTACCGTTTATCATTGAATTGGTCTCTGTTTGATTTCTGGTACTACACTATTCCCTATTCCTGTATTCAAATCGCCCATTATTATTACTATTTCGTCTGGTATTATCGGGTCTAAAACAGTATGGGTTTTTTTGTTGTTCCAGTGTCAGTTTTATTTTCAGGAATCACTGTATTTGCTTTCGATAAGAATAAACCCACTCCAGCGGGTACCCTCTTTTCCTTATCAACCGCGCTATATATTCTAGTACATAATCTTCATAGTTTTTCTGTCCTTTCCCTTTATTTTTATTTTCTGTCTTTAAGATCCTCTATTCTTTCCTGGTCTCGGGGTCTCGGTTGTTGAGTGATTTATATTCCTGGTAGCTATTCGTAGTATGTTTTCCAGTTTTCAAATACTTTTCTGTTATCACGATCCATCTAGTACTTACTTCTGGTGGAGCAAATATAATATAATACAAATGGCCAATTTACCATTTGCAATAAATAACTCCAACCTCAATCATCGATTCAGTAAAATAACACTATTTCTTAAGTTCTTAATTTCTTCTTGCAGCACCTAATTTATAACCATGTTACTCCAAATCTTGTTCACTTGTAAGTGTATTGTCTCTCGTAACCCAATTTGTTCTCGTATCACTTTATTTTTTACTCTTCCCATACGCGATACTCTGGCAAATCTTCTCAGAGCATCCATTTCAGTTGCCACGATGCGATTCTTATTTCGGGCTGTCAATCTTCATGTCTCAGATCTATATCGTAAGTGAATCTTAATTAGAACTTTTGAAGACTACACTCTTGAATTTAGATTTGTATTGTTTGCCATTCCTTGGTATTTCCCTTCCATACATGCAAGCTTTCTTAAGTAAATTTTGAACAGAATAGGCGAAATACAGCAGCTTGGCGCAATTCTTTGGGGGCTGGGAACGATTCCCATAATTTGTTACCAATTTTTATTTTGGATGTTGATTGGAAGTATAAGTTTCGTAATGCCCTTATTAGAGTATGGCTTATACTTGGGTACTTCCCATAATTTATTTACCATATTTTGATAATTTTCTTTAAAAGATAATACTGTTGAGCTGTTTAGTTTTTCGCCTAGTCTCTGTATTACTTTATTCCTTTCTTTATATTATTTTTAGCAGTATCTGTAGCAAATGCCGAGTACTATCATCTTGTAAGTCTTTATTTATTGCTACATGGTTCTTCTGATTATTCCACATGATTCCTCTTTGTACCCTGATATCATCTATATGCAGTTGTGAGTCTTGTTTGACGATGATGTAGTCAATTATGGACTTTATGTCTCATGTCTGTTGCTCTCAGGTGAATTTGTGCATCATTCTGTGTTTGTAGAATCCGTTTGTTGTATTTATTAGTCTTGCATAAGCCTATTGATCGTTCATCATTGATGTTTACTATTTAATTTTGACTATTTCTTCATTAAGTCGTTATTTTCCTCCCTATGGGGAACATTTTTAATTTGATTATATTGATTTACTGATTTTGTTTTTTGGTTTTTTATCCACTTATATTGAGACTCTTCTTTCAGCCCTTTGATGCTCCTTAGTAGAGCATTTAGGCACTCCACTATATAAACGAATCTAGTTATTTACTATTTCGGTTCCTGTTAGAATTGCCATATATATCTTAAGTTTTCCCATTACTCTCTCTGTTATCTCTTCCAACTTTTCTCTTACTTATTTAATTACAAGTACTTCTAACTAAGTTCCAACAATAGCTAAAATAATATTTTCCAATCTATTGTTATAGAATTTTTATTTTATCATCTTTTTTAAGGTCGACAAACCTGGTTTGTTAGAAGACAAAAAAATCATTACCTACGTATTCGTTATCTTTGCGCTGTGTTTTCCCCCAAAATTTACGAGTTACAAGCCGTGTGCGAGCGTGTCATTTACTCAAATTAATTACAGTTGGTGGTCGTGATACTACATCACCTCTACAATTTCGTGCTTTTGGTTTATTAAAAAAAAAAAATAGTAGTAAAATTTCTTATTTAAAATTTCACTGGGTAAAATATCATATCGTAACATTTTCGGAAAAATGCACATCTTTGTTACGTTTCACATATCCAAATATGAAACATTTATGTTTCAATTCAGCTGCTATCCGAAAACGGTGACAAGTTATCTCTAAAATATTTACAAGACCGAAATTAAGTAGAAACTCGAAACGAAAACCGGCGACGTCGCGTTTCCCTTCTTATTTACACTACTTTTGTTTAATTTTAAATGAAAACCTTTTTATTTCTATTTCAATAACTGTATTAATAAATAACGACTTTTTATTAACTTGAGTTTAAATACTTTTCTTTTCAACATTTTAGTGGACACAAATTACAAACTTGTAAGATAGTTTAATTAAAAGGGTAAAACCTGGCTGTACCCGTTCTCTACTACGAACGAAAAGATGTAATTAAGTCCTTGCAGTCTTGAAAATGTTTCAATACAGTTCTTCTATTTCGAGATCCCTCTGAATGGTTCTTTACGAATTAACAGAAAAATATCGAAATGAGAAATCAAACTTTACAGAAAAGATACTTAAACGTATTTGGTATATTGGATCCCGAGGGTGTAGACAATGATTGTTACACGAGAGCTTTAATTAAAGCTTAGAATCGCAAACTACAACACCAGTTCTGAAACTGCCACGTATGGCCCTGTAATCCATTCACATTGTAACACTACATAAGCCAAAACGACTTGTATGTTTTCGTAATATCAAAAACACAAATGTTGTGTATGATACTTGAACAGAATTAAAAATGATTTACTAAACATAATTAGTTGAAAAATTACCCACAACAATTTTATTTATTATTATTTATCACGAAAATCTATTGGGAATAATTTCTTAACCCCCCACGAAAGCAACCCCGTTACTTTTAATTTAGACCAAATGGAAACTCGTTGCTTTCGAGGATTTCTTTCTAAAACTATGATTTATGAGTATATTTTCTATAATAATCCTAAAACAAAAAAAAATCGACCAAGAAAAATAAAAAAATAATCTAAACAATTTTTATCTACTTCTATCTTTAAAAAAATCAATCTTTGTAAGTTATGAATTCGAGTAAAATGTAAGATATATTACTTGAAATGCAAGAGTTATGTTTTTATCTATTAGAGTATTCATCATAAAATGGGATCCATTTTTAGTTTGATTTCCCAAAAGGAATTTTTCGACGTAAAATAGATCATACAATTTTTTAAATCAATGTTCTAATAAAATTGGGAAATTGAAACGATCAAAATTTCTACGGACAGGGAACGAAATGGAATACTAATCTACTTGAAATGTACGATGTGTCTCAATCCGTATATTGATGCGACGGTCGAGTTAATCTCGTATAGGATACCTGAAATTTGCATAAAATGGGGCCTCAACAAGATTAAGCTTACTGTACGCCGCAAAACTCCTAACTGAAAGTATTATCAACGATGGAAAATGTAATTAACGAGCTTATTTAAATCAAATGTGTTTATGTTTAATTACACTTATACAAAAAAGAACAAGAGATAACATCTCAAATTTCTGATTCATTTATATAGTATTATTGCTACGGCAAAACCGAAGAAGTTTTCTGGTAAACATAATGTATTTGGGATCAAACATAAATCACAGGTTCTTTGTACTTATACAATAACATGTGTTTAAAACAATTGTTTTTTATTTTTACATTGAGCTTCTGTGTTTTATAGCTTTGCTCCAACATGGACATCCGTACATTCTTCGTAGAGATAGATAAGTGGCCGAATATCTCCAACGTTTTGTTGCTTTTTTATTTTCCGATTGATGGTGTCGTCTTTCCTCTTCTCTGTATTAGCCCCAATGAAGCACATCAAAATTGCCATAAATTCAATAAGCTCTTTTTATTGAATCACTTTCTGACTCGGTGTACACAGCAAAGCATTAATAATTTCAATATTATCTAACAATAAGTGAAAAAGAAGGTCAAAAGTTGATAATACGTCTAAGGGGCTACGTAGGTTGGCAATACCATGGCAGCAATAAAACTCTGTGTAACGCTTTCTGATACTGACGTAAATCAATTCTCGGAATAAAATCAATGCGGCCAACAAATCCTATCCTCACGTTCTAGAAGACTATGTCGCGTGACCCTTGGATACATGGTGTACAATCGATATGTGTTATGGATCTGATGAGAAATGGTGAGATATGAGATTGTGGCGTCCTTAAATAGCCGGAGTCGGTTTTTGGATAATGGAGTGAACTGCGGTTCCTGAAAGAAGAGTACAATAGAAAAATAATAGCTGTGGAGATGGACTATTTACGGAGAAATGCCCCAGTCTCTATAAAGAAGAGAAAAAAGAGAGTTCAAATGGATTGTATGAATAGAAAACATCGAGAACGAATAAAAAGTGACCACGTAGATCCTGGATGAAAGTATGTGGTAAGCCATGAGTGAACGGGGGATGTCGAAAGATAAAGAATTTACGAAAACAGCATTTATTGGAACACAATGGAACACAAATTCACTTCGTCTATAGTCTATATGATGATTGTATTCCATGATAACATTTGGATAATTAATTCTACCTATATTTTAGA